TCTCTCTCTCTCTATCTCGGTCGCTCGACTGCCACGCGAGCGACGCGATGCGTCGCGTATATATATATATCTATATCTCCCTATCGCATCACGCCGCGCGTACTCTCTCTCTCTCTCTCTCACCCTTACGATCGAGTGAGGTGTGGAGATGTACACAATTGCCTCGCGTATATCCCTCTTGCATCGCGCCATGTGTACTCGCCTTTACGATCATGGCCGAGGTGAGGTGTGGAGATGTACACAATTACCGTGCGAGGTGTAAACAAGCTCTTTTTGGCCTCCCCTAGAGTTGCATCTTTCCACGCAACAAGCCATTTGTTACTTATAAATAATTTATTTTGCCTATAATATAATAGAAATTAAGAAGATTACAAATTAAATGTATATAAATTATAAAAAAAAAATTGGAAATACTCTATTAAATTATACTGTTAAACATTACTCAGCTAATCAAATTTGGGTAAATAAATTTTAAGCAAATTTTTAATGGAAAAGCAAAAAATATAACACAGGATCTATTAATTATATCTATAATAATATTGTCGAACTGCCACCAGAAATGTGGCAGAGCATACTGACAGGGAAATCTACAGCAAATTGACGACAGAAATGCAGCAAAATCGGTAGTGATCTAACAGCAAATTAATTTTCTTCAAAATTTTATAATTACAAATAAAATATAACTAAACTATATTCACTTTAAAAAATATATCAAAATTATTCCTTGCCAAAACTCATTCTTAACCTCTATTCACTTTTCTATTCACTTCTCTATACACTTCTCTACCACTCTCTACTTCTCTACACTAACACAATTGTGACACACTATACATATATGAATATTCAAGATGGCAATGGAATGTTGCAAGTTCTTCCGTTCGGCGAACCTGGCAGTTTACGGAACATTTTTCGTGACCAACTTTTTACCATTTTACCTATGTCGTTACGTCTCCTTATTCATACTTCATGGGCCGCCTCCAAACTGAGCCTTGCAGGAAAGGCTCCCGGCCCCGATGGAGTATTTGAAGATGTAGTAAAGACAATGGTTGAGGAAGGTGTGGATCGCATCGCGAATTGTTTTACTTCTTGCCTTCGGGAGGGTGTTTACTTTACGTGTTGGAAGACTGCCAAGTTGGTCTTGCTAAAGAAGCCGGGCAAGCCGGACCTCGTTCCTTCGTCCTATCGCCCTATCTGCTTACTAAATGAGCTTGGAAAATTATATGAGAGAGTGATCGTGCAGCGCATTCGTAATAGCCTGTACATTGGAGTGGGTCTCTCTCCCAATTCGGCTTTCGCCCGCACAGATCCACCGTAGATGCCCTTTTGAAACTTAAGGAAATCCTCGAGTCGGTATACGAGGAGGAAAGAGTGGCCGTGGCTGTTTCGCTGGACGCGAGGAGGCTTTCAAATGCCTTTAACTCTCTTCCTTGGGAGGCGGTTCGGCATGCGTTGATAGAAAAGGAGATCCCTAACTATCTGAGGGTCGCGATTGAGAGCTACTTGTCGGATCGTTAGGTATGTTTCGAGGATAAGAAAGGTCATTTCAGGAGAATGTCGATGACGAGTGGGGTTCCGCAGGGCTCGTCATTTAGCCCGGAAGGGGAGGTTTGGGAGGTTCTGTGAGCGAGTAATGCTCAGAAAAGAAGAGGCAGAACGAGAAAGAAAGGCCCAGGCAATCCGTGCGGAGTTGGCGATAGGGGATTCTTTGGATGAGGACGAGGAGTAAATGACCGATCTCTGGTGCTTTCAATCTGATGACTTGGGTTTCTGGCGCTTTAGCTCGAATATACACAGGGTAGTAATCTCTTCTGTCGCAGCCTGTTTGTTGTGAGAGTTCATCTCTTATCATCGAGGGTGGCCCTGAAGTAATGCTCTCCAGTGGTTCCGGGGTCACCTTCATTGCGTGATCGGGCCGTCTTTTTTTCCGTGGATGGTTTTAGTTAGGTTGCGTTGGTGAGCAATCTAGGTTGTGAGGACCCATCGAATCCTACACTCCCCCGGTTTGCAGGCACCGGAATGCCTTTTGAAGGTTTCCTCCACGTTAAAAAAAAAGCATTCAAGTTAAACCACGGAGTCAAACAGTTTGGGAACTTCTGTAGTGGGGGTCAGAAGTCCCCTCTAATCTTTATTTTTCCAGC